GTGGGATAAAGAAGAAAATAACAAAAAAATTCCTCAGTAATAGGAGGGAAATGGTAATAAATTCGATAAAAAATAAGTTTTTATGTTGCATTTCACAAAAATTCAAAACCCAAGAAAGATGAGGTTTTTGATAGAGATTTTTGCTCAAAAGTAGCCCAAAAATCTCATAATCTTGTGGCGAAATCTAGTCAAATATCGCGAAAAGAGCCCGAAAACTTAAAAATTGTAAATCTTGATAACGCCGATTTTGTGAAACCTTCGGAAAAAATCGTAAAAATCCAGCAAAAACCAAAAACTGTTTCTTCCCGAGGGAACATGTTCTGCCCGGGAAACTTTCACCGGTTTCTGGTAGATCAAAAATATATTTTGGTGATTTTTTACTGCAAAAAATCAATAATCACCAATTATTCTTTACTAAAACTGTACAGAACACGAAAACTATTATTTTAGGAGATTAAACAGATGCAGATCAGTGAGGCAGTGAGTAGTTTATATTGTGTGTTTGTACAAATCCGTTTTTGAGAGAAAATGAGACAGTGAAGGAAAAAAAATTGACACAATATTTTTTCGTAATCATTGAATTCAACAAAAACGGAAATTTGAGGATAGAAATTTGAGTTTCCGCAGGAAAAAACGGTTTTTGATAGGAAAGTGACATAGAGCAGGCTCTTCGGCAGGAAAATTGAACTTTTCGATTTAGAAACATATTTGGCCTGTGAAAAAGAAAAATCGCTTTTATGAGAGCTTCAAAATGGTTTTTACTCGGCTCCTGAAAGTTTCTTTCCCGACATTTCAGATTAAAACAGATTTTTTGTTCCCAGTTTTTTTTCTAAACCTCGAAATGTTGTTTCTGATAGTTTTCCTTCAAGTTCCCTTTTTTTCCTTGTAAAAATCTTCCTGATTTTGTTCCGAAAATCGATTATTAGTCACCACAGTTTCCTTCAGTGATTCACCACTTTTCTTTAATTTTACCTAACAAAACCCAATCATTTTGCAAAAACAATAAGCAAAATATAAAAAGCAACGAAAGAAAAAAAAATGTTGCCCCGGGGGCGCAACAGCAGAAGCAAGCAAGCAAAATCGCCTAGTGTATAGATGCTGCGCGAGAAGCGAACGAAACGATGGCGGCAAAAAGAGAGAAGGGCGCGGGAGGCGAGAGAGTATAGGGAAATGAGAGAGTGGGCGAGAGAGGGCAACGACGGCTCTCTCCCTGTCCGCTGGTCGGACGGAGAGAGAGACTAGGAACAAAAAAAGAAAAACGATTACACTTCTGTCCTTTCCCTCTATCGTTTCTCTTTTATTTTAAATGCTCTTTTTTTCTGTGGCGGAGCATCATTTTGGAGCCTCCTTCATGGAGAAGGAACGGGTGGTGATAAGCAATTATTTCTGCATTTTTTGTGATGAAATCGGCGTTAAGGTAGTCAGAGAAATCCGCTACAATGCCTAGAAAGTTTGAATTCGATCACAATTCGGTTTTTCTCCAAATAATATTCTGAATGCTTCAAAAACGCCTATTTTCACACTGAAATACCCGAATTTTGCTTAATTTTTAACAAAAATTCTCCCAAAAACCCCAATTTAAACGAAACAATTGAAAAAAAATTGTCTTTCAAATTTATTTCTTCAAATTTTACTTTTTTGTGCACTGATTGCGTAAATTCCGATACATCGAACCCACTAATTTACGCGAAGTTGCACGGATTCCAGAGCACTACCGCCTACACAGCGCCCCGGATCGGGATTTTTTCAGCCTTGCGTTTCAAATTTGTGCAAGGGGGCGCAGCTGCAATTTTTCTGCGTCTCGCGCAATAAAGTGTGCGGAGACCGTGTTCTAATCACGTAATCAACTAGTCCCATCGTTTTTGGCATATTTGGTCAACTTCCGGAAAATTTCATCACTCGGGCCAACCTAAGTTTTACTTTTGAGATAATTTGCAATATTTTGATATAAAAACTATAACGAAACTGCCAAATTTGAAGGCGCCATAAGAGAAATTAAGTTAAAACACTTGTTTTTGCGCTTTAAAAACACGAAATCGACTTATTTCTTGTGCTAGAGTTGTCATTTTTAGTTGAATGAACAATTTAGAATGTGGATCAGACGTTTTGAATCAATAGAATAGCTTCATTCTGCGTATTTGAAAATACAGCCTGAAATTTCTATTATCAGCTGTATGAAGATTCTGCTTTCAGTAGGCTCAAATTTTAATATTTATCTGTTGAAGCTTTTTATTATTGATCAATGAAGTTGAAAAAAACGACTTATTGGTTTGATTTCGTGTTTTTAAAGCGCAAAAACAAGTGTTTTAACTCAATTTCTCTTATAGCGCCTTCAAATTTGGCAGTTTCGTTATAGTTTTTATATCAAAATGTTATGAATTATCTCAAAAGTAAAACTTAGGTTGGCCCGAGTGATGAAATTTTCCGGAAGTTGACCAAATATGCCAAAAACGATGGGACTAGTTGATTACGTGATTAGAACACGATCTCCGCACACTTTATTGCGCGAGACGCAGAAAAATTGCAGCTGCGCCCCCTTGCACAAATTTGAAACGCAAGGCTGAAAAAATCCCGATCCGGGGCGCTGTGCGCCTGTTTTAATTTTTGCAGCGATTGCAGTCAAAATTTGTGGTTTTCGGGGGTACAATGGAATAAATCGTCGAAAAATTGTGTAAAATAAAGGAAATCATTAAAAAATTCGCGGGAGCTGAGTAAAATCAGTAAAAATCAAGAAAGTCTCGGGAAAAGGAATGAAAAATTGAAACCTAAAAAATTTTGCAAATATGTTTTGAAAGTTTAGATTCTGTTGCAATAGTTCTTAAAAACGAAAACTAAAAATCTAAAAATGAACAGAACATGAAAAGTTAGCAGAGAACTAAAAAAAAGTTCGGTTAAAATATTTTTTCCAAATTTTCAGGCACAACTATTTTTTTTGCAAAAATTCTGAAAAACATTTTTTAAAATCTTAAAATTCAAATTTTCATTCTCAATGCCTTCCAATGAATAAAATGCAATATCCGACATAACAAATGTGGTCATCTCGACAATCCTCATGTTTCTCACACGGCCTTCCCTCAGTCATGTCATTCTTGTTGACACATTCGACAGCTTCTCGATCACACACTTCATCCGGGCGACATTTCAGCCTCTCGCACACATCTGGATTGCTGGTGACGGAGTTGACGAGCAGAAGAATGCACAAAAAGACCTGGAAGAGATTTTCGTCCCGATGATTTCTAGGCAATGAAAACTTACCAAGGATGATTTCATGTTGAAAAATTCAATAAAAAGAAAAATCGGAGAGAAGAAATAATGGGTAAATAGAGAAATGAATTGATCACCGGTTCTCTTTTATACAGGGACAAGAGAGGGGAGAAGAGAATTAGAGAAAAAATATATTGAAAAAAAATTCACGTGGGAGAAAAAGGAAAGAATGGAACTGTTCTGCCATAAAGTACAAGTACACCGAAGTACTAAAACTTGAAAATGGAAAAAAAATAAGTTGGAAAGTACGTTCTATGGAGAGAACTAGGGAAACAGGAAGAGAAGCAGAGAAACCAGACATTCTGCTTGTCTGCGTCTTTATACCGATACGTGGCAGCCTCAACCCCACCAAAACTATTCCACATAGGGCAAGGGTCAACCTTACTCTTCCCTCTCTGAAATTTCCATTATTCTCTCGTTTTTGGCCACTATCAACTCCTCTCTTCGGACACAAGAAATGTCGATCAAGAGTACCTTAAAGGCACGTAATGGTGTTCCAAGCGCCACCTCGTCTGGTGATGGATTCCAGAAGCTTCATGTGAGTTTGTTAGATGGGTCTCAAAGCGCTCTAACTGTAGCAGCTTTCTTTGAGAACAACTTTGAGGATAACTCTGTCGAGAATTGAGATAGCAAAAAGTCGTCAACTAACAAATTGTCGATAAAACAATTTTCTATAATTTTCTAGTTGACAACTTTCTGATAGCTCTGATGACAAACAAGATATAGTCCTCGAAAATTCGGAAATCATCAATTTTGGAGTTTTTTTTGGAGTTTTTCTCTGTCGAATCGTATTTTTTCATATAGAGTTGTATCAGAAATTTTGGCTGAAAATGAGGAAAGGCTGAAAATTTTCAATTTTTGTACCAGCTTTTTGCTCGAATTTCCTGAAGCACTCCTATATGAACTTTATACCAATAGATAGAGCAGAAAATTCTCTATCGATTGATATAAATACCGGAAATAGTTGCATCACATAATCTTCTTCAAAAACTCAAAAAACCAATTTTTCTTCAGAACGACTTCATCACGTACCTGTACGCCGACCACGGTGCCGCCTACAATGAGAATGTGAAAAAGTTGGAGGAGTCGTTTGGTCAGAAGCGCGAGATCTTCGCCTACGGACTCATCGGACTCAGTTGTGTGTACATGATCATTGGAAGTTGGGCAGAGTTCATGTGCAATTTGATTGGTGTCGCCTATCCGGCGTACGTTTCTGTTAAGGTCCGCCCGTTTTTTTTCGCTAATTTTTGACATACTTTTTGAGTTCAGGCGATCCGTACGGAAGGAACCGACGACGACACCGTCTGGTTGATCTACTGGACTGTGTTCGGCGCCTTCTCAATCATTGACTTCTTCGCCATGGGCATCATGTCCTACTTCCCATTCTACTGGGTCGCCAAGGCTGCGTTCCTTTTGTACTTGTACCTCCCACAGACTCACGGATCCTATATGATCTACCATAAGATTATCGATCCACTCGTCGCTCAAATGGAGAAGTCGATCTCTGGAAAACTTCCACCAGGTGTTGGCAACATGCCACCTTCTGCACGTCAAGTGGTGGGTGTCGATTTGAACAATAATCAAGTGAAGTTGCCGTCGGATCAACAACCGCCACAATAGATCTACGGAATTTCTCCATGCTTCGTTGCAATCAATAAAGACATAAGCATTAAAATCCTTGTTTGTCAGGTCTAACGAATCTTCTAAAACATATAATGAAAAAGAAAAAAAGAAAATGCACCCAGGCGGAATCGAACCCCGGACCTTTAGATTACCAGCCAAAAGTGTTATCCAGTAGGCCATGCTTTCATTGGCAGTAGCGGAGCGAACCACAGACCCCAGGAGCGCTGAAGTCGAGTGGCAAATCAAAAAGTAATATTTTTAAAAAATCTACAGTAATCCTACACAAATTATTTCCGAAATAGTTATTTTTATGACCACGTTTTTGAACTTTTCCTTTGGAACTTCTATTTTTGGTCCAATTACAAAAATTTTGCCACGTCTCTTCTTTAATTTTTCTTCATCTCAAAAAATCATTCTTCATTTCTCCGTCATGAATTTCTACATGATCTACACCTTAATCACATTTTTACCACAATTCCTAGACACCCGGAAGCCAGAATCAGAATCCGAAAAAGCTCTAAGAGATTTGAGGTGCCGGGAGTTTTATGTCAAGATTTTTAATACGTAAGTCATCAGTTCCAAAATCTTCTATGCATCAAAAAATATTTTTTTAAAAAGATAAAAGAGTTTGGGCCGAACCGGGGATTGAACCCGGGACCTCTCGCACCCAAAGCGAGAATCATACCACTAGACCATTCGGCCGCGGTAGAGAGAGGAGTTAGAGGGCGTAGAGAAGAGCGCGGTGTTCCTGGAAGAAGGAAAAAAGGGCGCTGGACGCCAAGCGGAGAGGGAGCGTAATGATAAAAGATTCGAATTTTTTGGAAAGTTCCGGCGGGAGTTCAAATTTCAAATGAGATTTTCACCATTTTCACCGGGTTTTTCCAGTTTTTCAAGAGAAACCTCGCTCCAATGACATTATTCCAGGGCCACCGGTTCCATCGAGTACTCCTGCCAGAACTACATCGCGTGGGGTGCGGAGAGAGAAATATTTTGTGTTGAAGGAAAGGAAATGCCATATATTATAGTGTAAGTGTGGCCAAGCTTCCTAGGGAAAAACTAGGCCACCAAATTTGAGGTATTCCGCTGTCAACGCCAGTATCGCCATCACTTTTTATAAGATTTGTTGTCAGGTGAGAAGCGAGAAGCGCGCTTCATTGATAATTCCAATCAATTTAGACCAAAGAGTGTCTAGATCGATACCCATTCAACCCGTTCACTCGGTTCGGTAAGAATATTCCGTTTGAATTTGAGGAAAAGGTAAGACTCCGCCTATTTTTGCAATTTTACCGCACGACTTTTTTTCAGATCCCCACCGACGCTGATTACCTAGATTTGGTGGTACGGTACCTCGTGGTGTCTGTGTTTTTCGTTGGTGTCTCTTATACCGTAGTCCATATTTGTTGTGTCCGCAGGCGTGTGGCAACACAGTGGGACGATGAGCAGAATGAGCTGGATCCGGAGTTGATCGCAATGGCGGAGACGCCGAGAATGCATATTGTGAAGATTGGGCATCGGGATGATGGTTAGTTGGGTCAAAATCGGTGTTAGCGTACACTGCCCCGAATTTGACGACAATTTCGATTAGCCGTTTGTTCTGAGCAATTGGCTGTTTCGGAGCACTTTTCACCTCACTTCAGCTTAAAATCTGCAGTTTCAGAAGGCATCCCAATCACTGGTCAACACTCATTTATTGACTACTGTCGTCTCCTTGCCGCCTATTCCTTCCGTGACCAAAACGTCAAAGAATCGAATCTCATCGACCCACGGCTCGTAGCCACCCGAATCCTTCGTCACGACCTTAGACTCATTCGAGAGGACCGGCAACCCGATGTGCAATATTGGAATTTTATGAATAATCGGGTGAATCCTGATGAGCGTTTCGTGAAAATTCTCGGGAAATGGGTCTACATTTCGAATCGAATGGATCGAGATGGATTTGTGGATAGACAATTGCCGATTTTGGAGCGGATGGCTATTCAGAGGTACACGGATGAGCTGAAAATGAATCTGAAGTTGAGGACAAAGAGTCGATGGGAGCCGAAGTACACCCATCTGTTTGACAAGTGGGATATCGCGCATTTGATGACGCTGGGAAGTTATAAAACTGATATGCACATGATTTTCTTCAATTCGGTTGGGTTGGGTCATGAGCTTTTCCAGGTAAGCATCAAGCCTCAAAAAAGCTGTATTTGAAGGGTAAACAACTCAGAAAACAGGGAAAACCGTGTAATGCTCAGAATAAAATTCATAACCCTATTCCAGGTCACCAGACCAATGGGTCATGTGGACCACCACAACATTTTCCAAGCCATGTTTTTCCATGGACCGTATTTCTATCCATGGGACCCCAGTGAGCTGATCGCCTTGTTCGGAGAGGCTAGGGAAGCATTTCTGGAAGACCCGATCTGCCTAAATCTATCCCTTCCCATTGTGATTATTGGAGAGATTCGGGGGAGGTGAGTATGGATCACTGAAGCGCCGGAGGCGCGCTATCTATTTAGGAGACATTGATAGGGGTGTAGAAAGAAACGAGAAAATAAAAAAAAAAGAGAAAACCACTAGTGGGGGTCGAACACCTGGTCTTCTGGACGAAGGGCAAAAGCGTTAGCCAGTAGGCCACGCGGTACAATAGAGAAAGAAGAGTAGCAGGCATAGAGAAGGACGGGGGAAGACCGTAAGACAGAGAGAGGTTAATAGATGCTAAAAAAATTTCAAACGGATTATAGAGCAACTGCGCTCTATTGAACAAAAGGTAGATCAAAACTTAGTTTCACTTTCCAGATACGCCGATCTCCACCGTTGGCTTCAAATCACGGGCCTGCCCTACCGTCGTAAACTCCTCTTCCTTGGCGGATATATGGAGCGAGGATCCAGCAGCTTTGAGGAGTACGGTATCGAGTGTCTCTCTTTTATAGCGGCACTCAAATTGGCCTACCCGCGGCACGTGTTCATGTTGAGAGGATCCGCGGAGACGACGTTTTCGTTTGCCCCGAGATTTTGTAACGCGCATATGGATGTTGCAGTGTTGGCGTGAGTTTTTTTGGAAGGGTGGTTCTCGGTTAGGGGTGCCCTCAGAGGTGGCTCCAACCGTTTCGACCAGTGTCTCTCACCAAAAATCCATTACAGAGCCGCCCGTCAAATGTGCAATGTACTCCCACTGACCGCCTTGATTGAGGAAGACTACTTGGCGGTGTCCAGTGGAATCGCCCCATATATGATTGAGGATTTATACGGAATCGCACATTTACCACGGCCAATCAAGCCGGAAAATGTTCCGACTAGTGTTCGATGGATTCTTTTTGGACAGCCGAACTCGATGCGAGGGCATTTCGAGCATGATAGGGGTAGGCCTGAAGTTGAGACCAATTGCTCAGAATAAAATTGTAGATCTTATCGACTTCTAGGGGTTGTTTGTCAAGGTTGAAAATTTACTTTTATTCTGAGCAATTGTTGCGTCTGGCTGTATTAGACGGTTTGGTGTTTGCGTAACCGGCACCCAATTTAACGTCAATTCATTTTTTTCCCAGACGCCCACACTTATCGTTTCGGTCTAAGAGCAGTCGAGAACCTCTGCCGAAAATATGAGCTCAAGGCGGTTATCCGATCGCGAAGCGAGCTCCCACTGAACCCTCTGATTTTCAACGATGGGAAGTTTGTCACGATCAGTAGTACACCGACGGAGAATTCGGGGGTAGTTTTTAAAACCCATGCCGCAAAACTGCAAAAATGGGCGGAGCTTAAAACTTTCCAGGGCGTCGCAATGTTAATCGATGAGAACCTTGGCTGGATATTCTTCAAACTACGGTATCAAACCGAAGAATTGAAGCTTACACCGAACCACGATGAGAAAATGTTCAATTTGAGGGAAGCGGAGAGTTTGAAGCCTAAGAAGAAGGAGAAGAGGAAACATGATATTTATTTTGATTGACTGTAACGAATAAATACATTTTTCAGTGTTAAAAATATTACGGTAGTTTTAAAGGTGCGTGCCTTCAACGTTTCAGGAATTTTTCTTCCCATATCGATTGAATTGTTTTCTGCCAACTTTTCTGCTTTTTTAATTAAACTCAATGAATTCTTGTATTTTTTTTTCATCAATTGTGTCGGAAAAAGCATGAACCTCAGTGAAAAATTAAAAAAAACCTAAATTTCAAAACTTTGTTGTTGTGTGCGCCTTTAAAGCTACAGTTTTTATTTTGAAAACAACATTTTGATTTTTCAGAAGTTTTTTCCTATTTTTTGCTTTTCTTCAGTATTCTTCATTTTCCTTCATCGTAAATCGACAAGAATTTTGCGTTTTCATCTCGAAAAAATGTTTTTCTTTAGAAAATTGATAAACTAATACATATTCAACATATTCAAGAAAAGCTGCTAGAATTTTTTTTGTTAAAATCATCATCTTCATCTTATTAGAACTGACAAAAAAATTTTTAAAAACCGCACAGCGCCCCGGATCGGGATTTTTTCAGCCTTGCGTTTCAAATTTGTGCAAGGGGGCGCAGCTGCAATTTTTCTGCGTCTCGCGCAATAAAGTGTGCGGAGACCGTGTTCTAATCACGTAATCAACTAGTCCCATCGTTTTTGGCATATTTGGTCAACTTCCGGAAAATTTCATCACTCGGGCCAACCTAAGTTTTACTTTTGAGATAATTTGCAATATTTTGATATAAAAACTATAACGAAACTGCCAAATTTGAAGGCGCCATAAGAGAAATTAAGTTAAAACACTTGTTTTTGCGCTTTAAAAACACGAAATCGACTTATTTCTTGTGCTAGAGTTGTCATTTTTAGTTGAATGAACAATTTAGAATGTGGATCAGACGTTTTGAATCAATAGAATAGCTTCATTCTGCGTATTTAAACTTAGTACATGAAACTTCAATTAACAACTTTAGGAATATTCTGCTTTTTGAAAGCTTTCGAAAAATAAGATCTCAGTCGATCCTCTTCCCCATAGAAGATGAAAATTATCAATTGAGAATCTACTCACCTGCTACTCTGACCTGTTGCTCTATTGAAAAACGTGTCCAAATCGGCGACTGACGGCTCTC